ATCCCTGTTGACAGGCAGGCCTCAGAAGACTTCTCCTTGGAGATGGCTATGGGGGACCTGAGAAAAAAAGACAGTCTGAAGGGTCTATGGTGGGCTGGCAGATCCTGCTCATAGGCAATAGGGGTGCCAAACATTTTCGGATAGAAACAGATGGGGCTTATCTGGTGTATCCACTTTTAACACCCACCCTCGTAAATCGCTGGACTCTAGTACTTATTGTACAGCCTTTTATCAAAACAATGATTATCCATTGACCACAGAGTAAATACCTCCTAGGGTCAAAGGTCAGGCAGTAGCACAGATGATTATTTCAGAAGTGCGGAGCTGGTGCTATTGCTTCAGTGCTGCCAGTGGTTTGCTTTCTGGGCAGCACTCACCAGGTTGCTGCAGAAATGGCCCCGGTGCTCGGCGCTCATCCGCAGGTCATGGCGACGCTGGTTCTGCTCCTGTCTGTGCTCGGTTTGGCTGCTGGTGGGAAGCTGCTGGTGATGTGGGTGGATGGGAGTCCTTGGTTCACCATGAGGGAGGTGTTGGACGGTCTCAGGCAGAAAGGGCATGAAATAGTCGCCGTTGAACCTGAGACAGATTTACACATAAAGCCAATGAAGAATGTTGTCATGAAAATGTACCCAGTCCCTTTCACACAGGAGGAGCTGCATCGAAATTTCCAGGCGTTTTCAGCAGATATATTAGAAGAAGCATCTTTTGTGGAAAGAAATGTTAGATTATATCAACAGGCAAAAATAACCTCTCGTGTACCTGTCTACCTGTGAACACTTACTGTCCAACAAAGAGCTTCTCAGATACCTTGAGGAAAGCAAGTTTGATGCTGTCCTTACAGACCCTATGCTACCCTGCGGGCAGAACCTGGCTGAGCATCTCTCAGTCCCTTCTGTGTTTTTTTTGTATCAAATACCATGTGGTTTAGAATTCGAAGCCACTCAATGTCCCAATCCCCTTTCTTATGTCCCCAGGGCATTCACAGACCTTACAGACCGCATGAACTTTCTCTAGCGCGTGCAGAATCTAATCTTTAACATCCCAAATTATTTCCTCTGTGATTTTATCCTTCAACCATATGCAAAACTGGCTTCGGAGTTCCTTCAGCGGGATGTGACTCTGCCAGATCTCTTACACAAGGCTTCCATTGGGCTTCTGCGAGTAGACTTTGTGTTCCACAATCCCCAACCATTGATGCCCAATATGATCATAATTGGAGGAGTAAACTGCGCTCACAGGAGGCTAACTCAGGTGGGTCATGCCTGATTTTTGTTCCCCCATGTTCACTAGAGAACTTTGTGTCAGTGTTCTCTTTAACTGAGTGATAGTAAACGGCTTCAAACTGCTTTTCCTTAGCCAAGACGTGCCAGTACCCCCGTCCGTGACCACATCTTGAGTATCACACTGTAAACATAGGGGTGGTGTTTTGAATGAGTATAGCTCTGCTGAACTCCATATAGATTTGTGGAGGTCCGAATCTGATATTTCTTTGCTCAGAAACCTCTCCCCAGACACCTGTCACCAACTGATGAGTGCAACGCTTTGCTAGAGCTAGGACAAAGAAAAAATGGTGGGAAGGGTGCAAGTTGTGTGCCATGAGGAAACTGTCTATATGAAAACCCCAGGTTGCTCTTTCACCTTTGCCTTTACTTAGAGGATTGCCGAGTTTCAGCATCCATGCCAGGACAGGAATGACTCTCACACATTGATGCAATGCACAGTCGATTCACTTTATTGCTCTACTTGCGTGGTTATACACATTTTTCATATCTGTACACACGATCACGCTTATTCGGATAGGCTACAGACATAAATCACGCGCTGTTCACGCACCCCATATTGCCTTATGATTGGTAAGTATGCAGTAACGCCAGTAGCAACAGGCCGCCTCCAAGTCCTTGAACACATTTTGTTTTTGCTAACCCACATCATGTGCACTATCAGAACTTTCTCAATTGCTATTCTTAGCTGCCCTTTCCAGCGGCCTGTTCAGTTATGCTAACTGTTTTGCTTAAGTGGCCTAGTCATGCTAACTCTCAAG